GTGAAATGTAAACATTTTACATACTGACAGACTAACTTAGGTGTCCACAATCTGGAGCTGAATTCCATCCTTATGGCTCAACTCAGTTGCATAAACCTAAGTATCTATACATATATGTAAGGTATGATCTTTAGGAGACTTGGGCCACTAATTTAATACTAGAAATCTGTCTAATCAGCTAGATTGAAGTATTTTACTCTAACTTCCCAGTTTTAGGAAAGACTCTTGAAAAGAGTGTGTGAATACTGCCTAGACTGGCATTCATCTATTCTATTATCAACCAGGAGTGTCTAAAGATGAGAGACTCTCAGTTCCTTTAGCTGACACACTCTCCCTGAAAACACATAAATTTTGTTTCATTAATAGGTACTGCTCCAGTGCTTAGCACCAATTCCCAGATGGAACAGAGCTCCACAGAGAGGGTGTCTGTAAAGGGTTATATTGTGTAGTAGGTTTGTGTGTGGATCTGAATAGTCCACAGATTACGAGGCTGTTTCAACCCTAAATTATTGACACTGATTTTACCGATTCTGTTACCTTTTTTACATATCATGGCTTAATGCTTTTACTTGCAGGGTGTCACTGTCTTAAATATAAGAAGCTCCACAGATAGATAGAATCTGTTATGAAGAAGTTCCCTGTATCTGTTCTACGAGTTTGTTTTTCTCTCTGTCCCTGTGCACTGGTACCTCATTTCCTTCTTCCATAGGTATCTGCTTTTGGCCTTCCCTCTTCCTAAACCTTCTTTGCACCATGAAGTTACACACATGAGAAGATGGCATAGTATGTTTTACAATACTCTGTGCTCTGAGTGTTCTCTAGATACTTGGGTAGATGTGAGGGAATCATAGTCCTGCAAGCTCCAAAACAGCAGAGATGCTTCCACAAAAGCAAAGAGATTTTTTGCAAAGAGATTTAGGTAAAATCTGGTTCAAGCACCTATCTTACTAGGATGATAGTGTCAGTAGCTGGATCTTGGAGATGGTGGTTGTATTACCACATGTTCTTGAGCCATTGTCCGTTCAGGCTTCCATAGGTCTTTCTTCTCACGAAAACAAGCTTTTGATATAGAACATCACCATGTCTCAATATAGGACAAAAAAATAACTCCTGTGAAGAGACATTCCCCAGGCTTTCACCTACTGTCAGAGAATATTGAGCTAGGTGGATCTTTGTCCTCATACAGCAGATGATCTCATGTTCTGTAGCTAGAAAGCAGTTGCAGTAGTAAACAAGAAATATGTTATTTTATTAAAAACAGATATTGTTTTTTTCTGTACTTTGTTCTTCAGAGAAATGCTTGTTACTTATGCAGCTAAAGTACTTGAAGGCATTCTGATAATTTTCAAAATACTGTATTAAAATACAAACGTTGCTGATTTATGGCCTTTTAGATTTGCCAGTAGTAGATGAATTATGGCTGGATAAGTAAGACAAAATGGTGATTAATATCAGAATTTCAAATTGTATCTAAGAATGAACAGTTCTTGAGAATTTAAAATCTGAATGTACAGTCACCTTGACCACTTCCCTGAGCCCTGAGGTCTCCCTTTAAAAACTACTTTTCCGTTTCTTTGTCTCCCTGTCCAGGGAGATAGCAGATTCATAAACTGCAGTAATTGAAGCCAGTGCAAATTTCTTGAGTATGACTAATCATTACCATTTCTTACTGAATATTCCCTTACTCCCAGCCAAGATTTTATTAATTTTAATATGAAAACATCTACACCTATCATTTCTCCCCTGAGGTCTTCCTAGGCTGCTGCAGAAATGGAGTCTGACTTATATTGCTCTGGCTAGATTTGAAGATGTTAATTCCTCTGGCTAATTGCTTTTTGGATAACCTACAAAACACCAGAGGTCAGATTCTTGGCTTGATAACATTGCTTTGCACTGGCTTTGTATCTGGCTGGATGGCACAGCTCCCATCATGGGGAATCCCAGGAGGAGAGTGGTACAAGGTCGGGGTATTCCTGACTTTAGATACCCACATTTTGTCAGCTGCTGCTGTACCTGGCAATAAAAGGCAGCAGCCTTAAAACTGCTCAGACTTAAATGGAGGGTTGAAATGGTCCCTGACAGGATGCTTCTGCCCAGCTAAATCTTTACTCTCAGTTGATTGACCTCAAGTGCGAAGCATCTGGTGACTTAAACAAAGATATGTAATGAATACATTTTCTAAAATGTTGGCCAGGCATTTGCTACCCTGGGAAACAGTTTTTAAGTCCTTGCTAGTTTTATGCAGTCTGAAAAACATACCTTGGCAGTGCAGGTGAATATTACTAGAGTCAAAGAGAGCACAGATATGCACACACACGCTGTTTGTGTGTGTGCTCCTGCACACACAATGAACACTTCAGGGTGCCCTTTCTGCCTGTAGCAATTAGGGAAAACCAGAAACCAAACCATTGTAGACTTTGCCTATTAACAAAGCTAAAGTACCACCTCCAAAAACCACGTGAATCTGTAAGCATAAGGTAGATTTTGTACCATGTCTGTGGCAAGTGATATTGTTCAGCTGCATCCAGGAAACTGAGGAGAAGGACAAGCAGATCTCCAAGTCATCGCTGACCTGCCTCTCATCCTGCTTGTGTGATGCTATCACATAAACTCTATAGAATAACATGATATTTGCCTGAAGGTACAGGCATGTATCTCTAAAAGGTATATCCTACCCCTTGAGTGCAATAGGCTAATCCTAAAATCAGTTGTTCTGACAGTCATCACCTGATGATGCTACATGGAGGAGTTTCCCACATCATACTAGGGTGACCTTGACAAGGAAAGGGAGCATGTGTGGAGTTCTCCATCCATGTAACCACAAGATAAATCTTTCTTATTCCACAACAGAGCCCTAGTCACTGTGCACACAAGAGTTTAGTGGAGACGGGAATGCTGTCCCCAAAAAGGGTAGTACAACCTGTTGTCTGGTTATGTGGCTGTTTCATTTCACAAGTGCCAGGGAAAAGAGCAGGTTTGTGGCAAGAGGTAGAGGCAAAGTGTTAATGAGTAGCTCAGGCATTCCCAGAGTAGGTCTGTAGAGCCCCTCTGAGCTTTACCCCAACTCACTTGGTCCAGGAGATTTTGCATCCAGTTGCAGATTGAGGTGGGAATACCCCTATACACTTTGCCTTCAAAATCAAAGCTTTTTTGTTACTCAGACTATTTCTAAATCGATAACACTCTTCCTCCACCAATTAAAAAAAAAAAAAAAAAGAAAAAAAAAAGAATTGACATTTGTTAGTCAACAGCCAAAAAAACCAAACCCCAAATCTGCAGCATTTTTTCACTCTTAGAGAAAAGCCATTGGGTGCCTGGTCTGGGATTTGTGAGGGAAAGGGCAGTGTGATTTTACACAGGTGTGCCTTGCTCTCTCAAGCAGCCAAGGTGGTGGTCCCATCACACAGGAGAAACACCCAGCTGCACTTGTGTGACCCCTCCGGTCATCCCAGGCTCAGGCTGCTATGCTCTAGAGGGAGCTACATCTGTCCTTGCTCTCCGGAATGGAGGTCATCAGCCTGCCAAGCTTTCCAGGAAAGAGGGAGTGGCCGGAGAGTCTTGAGTTACTGAGCATAGACCACCTGGAAAATAGTTTGCAGTGAGCACTTGTCCTACCTCTAGACACTCCACAGTAAGGAGTAAGGGATGCTGAATCGGCTTTGAACCCCTACCTAAACTCACTTTGAAGAAATGGAAGGGCAGGCAAGTAGCATGCATGTTCTGTTATGAGAAAATGACAATAGCATTTCTGCATTTTAGTCTGTAATAGAGGTCGGTTTGGATTACAAGATTTGAATCTGGACTTAAAACATGTAGGTGTTTGAGTTTATTTGGGGACAGGGACTGTTTGCAAAGCTTGGACCCTGACCCAGGTTCTGACTGAGAGTACCCTGCAACTTTAATGTGTTTCTAGCTCTGATAAAGAAAAAGGGGAAAAATCATTTTGTCTCTGCATTAGAGAAAAAAGTATTAATAATGCTGCCACTATTTGATGATTGGGGGAAAAATCCTAGTCTCTTGAAAGCCAAAGTTGGGAAATAATTATCTGTTATTTTTAAAAAAAAACAGGGTCATAAAAATTATAGCTATAAAACACACAGCAGCCTGAACCCTCTACATAAAACCTCTTGTATTTTATGCCTCCTTTTCTATTTCAGGTCTTCATTTGCCTAATTACTACTCAGAGGCTGGCAGAGATTTTCCCTGCAGCGCTCACTCTGCTGACTGCAGAGACCCTACCTGGCACACTGACTTAGTGCGTCAGCATTCTAGGTAGAAATGAATGAAAAATCAATCAGGGCAACTGCAGTGGTAGCATATACAACTCTAACCTACTTTGTCCATGGTTTTGAACATTTCATTGTGTATTTAGGCATCTTTTAAAATGGTAAGTGGATCTGAAAGAAAATAGTTCTTTCTAGTCAGCCTGATAAATGTTTTGTCATCTTTACTGCTTAGCTCAAGCAAACTTACTACCCTGACTACTAAGTTAAGTTGCAGTCTTGACTGAAATGCCAAAACCTACGAGAAGATGGTTTTAATATTGAAAATCTAACACCAGCAGATTGAATCGTGCAGTGGATATAGATATAATGATAGCTTTGATTGTTTTAACTGTATTTACAGACCAGATCTAGAGTAGGTCTGGAAAAGCAAGAGTACACTAGAACTGTTTTTGAAACACAGGTATGGTCTTGCAGGGAGTTTGGTTTATGGATATTTGTGTGTGTGCCTTTTTTTGTTGTTTTTTTCTTGTTGTATTTCTGCATAGGCAGAGTTAAATATGTATTGCCAGTTTCATTTAATGACAGTCCATGACAAAAAGGTCCAGTCTTCATGCCTAAAAAATTAGTAGCTGTTGTAACTTTTTCAGCTGAGTGGGTTAAAAATGCTATAGATCCCTCCTAAGATCATTGCTGTAACAAGTTGTGTGCAGTACAACAGTGTAAAGGTTTTGGAAAATTCACAAGCTTCTTCGTGTGTGATATCCTTACAGTAAAGAAGATTCTTTTGACTATAAAGATGAAGAGTCTACTTTTTCTGGTGCTGATTTCTGTCTGCTGGGCTGAACCTCACCCTGACAACTCAAGTCTGGAGCATGAAAGAATTATTCACATTCAAGGTAAGGAAATACGTGAGAAAATACCAGTATCTTCAGCTTGCTGAGGGAAACAGAATAATATGCTTAATGATCCTTAATTTTTTATTCCACTGCACTGTTTTTTAAATACTATTCTTACTGGTGACCAAACCTTTTCTGGTTCTGTTGCATTATTGTTACTCCTAAGGAAAGTAAAAAAAAAAAAAAAAAAAAAAAAAAAAAAAAAAGTTGCACTGTTTAATAGCACTTAGTCACTTAGCATGATTTAAGATAAAGGAAAAAATCATGCATCCTAAAATAATAAGCAACTGCAATGGGTTGAAATACCCATTTAAATTGTGGAATATGTTTGATTTCAAGAAGACTGTCATGCATAGTTCTTCACATTACAGATATTTATTGCTGTTTATTATTTTAAAAGGCTCAGCATATCTGATATAATAATTGGGCAAAATAAACCAGAAAAATAAAAAGATTAGCTTACCCTGAAAGAAATGTATCTTTCCTCAAACCTTTAATTCACACTAAGTGTTATACTGGCCTTCTGCATAATCCTGTTTGGTTTGTGTTTGAATCCCAGAGCTTACAGCTGTAGCAGGATTTGAGTCTGCAGTACAATGCAGCTGTTTTTTCAGTCCCAGCTTCAGTCTATGAGGGTCATCCTGTCTAAGAAAAAGCAGGGGATTTATGCAGTAAGGACAGGCAGAACTAACAGGGATTTTCCTGCTTTCATTTACGTGTTTCTTGAGGCTGGCTAAAATTAAACTTGCAAAATTAAGAAACGCAGCATTATTGTTCTCTGCCTCTCTCTAAAATTTGTTTCCTTTCCCTCAACAGCTGGCAAATTATGTTGTTTGAATGTCTGAGAAAATATGAATTACCAAGTTATGTCAGGTTACTAAGAAAGCCTGAACATTTAGAAGCTCACAGGAAAGCCACAGAGGTTAAAGGTATCCTGCACTTATTAAAACAGACACTCAGATTGTCAAGGTCAAATAAGGAATAACAGATAGCTGGTTTCACTCTAAGGAAACTCACAGGATGAAGGTCAAAAGAATGTGTTGTATCAAAATGAAGACATATCACTGTTGAGAGACAATTAACATTCATTCCCCAGGGTAAATTTCAAATTTTACACTCAGGTCTAATAAACATGTATTTTGCCTTTCCTTGTATAATGCAGTTTCTATCTCTGAACGTTATTTATCTTTTTGGAAGATTGAATTAGTGGAAATAATGAAACCAAATCAAATTTTTTTTTTTCTTTAAAGTGTGTATGTTAAACCTGCTTAGTCAGCAGTTTAGTGTAATTTGCAAGTCATACATGTCGATTATTAATAGAACTTCAGTGTGTGTACAGTGCAGTCTGCAAGTGCTAAATAGTTCAAAGCTAATAAAAGTTTCAAGATGGACCATTCTCCCTACCCATGGAAATTCCTCTGAACCTCTAGAGTTTATTCCTTCAAGGAAAGATGAATCAAGCTTAAAATTGAGCTCTACCATGAGCTTTGTACATCACCTGATTCAGGCTCTGAAATACACAGACTACAAATCAAAAAGAATAAAACTGCCTGGAACCTGTTATTTTTACCATTTTTTTCATTCCTCTCTGCATGGTGAAATCCCATCAGGGTTGGGATTCCACTCTGCCTAGCGCTGCATAAACACATATGACAATCTACACCTGGAAATGAGCAGGGAATCAGGGAAGCCTGTGGAACACATGTGCTATAGCTTCATACAAAAGGTATTTTATATTACATTAAGGAGCATAGCATCCCCCTCCACAGCTGAAAACCAAGAGATGTGTAGCTAAATTCCTGGATTGCACGCTTCGAAATGCCCTGGAATTACAAAAGGTGCAGATAGATGTTGTGCAGTCAAGTACACAGAGCTGAAAGGGATCTCCTGAGGCAATGAACTAAAGGGTCTTCTATTCCTCTTTCTTTACATCATGTAATCTCCTGTGGGTTAAATTTCATTTTTTTAAAAAAGCTGGGTTCAAATCTCATTACTCCAAGGTAGATTTGGACCTTATTTTTCTGATATGAAAAACACTCTTCTAATTCTCTGTGTTTCTTCACAGCCATTGTGTGGCTTTATACTTCTCCTAGAGTTGTTCCTCAGCTTCACATAAGAATTTTTCTTCTTTGATGTTAATTTCAAAACATTAATAAGACAACACCTTGTCCTCACAGCTATCATTTGAGGAAACTTTTCCAAATTCTTCTCTAAGTGGATAACCTCCTGTTACCTGACAATGTTAGTAGTTCATCTCTACACTGGTTCTTGTTTGAATTCATACTTCTTGAGTGCATTTAGCCAGGATTTTACTCCAGATAAGATCTTAGGCTGGCATTAGTATTATTGTTTTCCAGATAACAATGCTTTGGTTTTCAGATTTTGTATCAAATTTGTACAATTCCCAGCCATGCTGCAGTGCTGATCCATAGTCTATTGTGACAGACTATATTTATCATTCATTCTCCCTCATTATCACTTGCAATTAACAAGTACAAGGTTTTTATCAATAATTCTTCATACTAGGCCTTAAAAAATAGATTATGCATTCAGTATTAAATATTATCATACTTTCTCCACCCTTCTTTTTTCAAACGTTCTAAATATCCATTCTCCTCCCTTCAGTGATGCTTAATGTGCCAAGTGAAAATGTTATTAGTTCAATAGTCACACTTATTTTATAAGGTAAATTAGTGGAAAATTTAAAGAGTTTCAAAAATTATACTGGAGAACGTTCACTGACCTTTTTCTAGGCTACTCATTTATGTTTCAGCCCAACCAATTGCAATCTCCTCTGTATCTAGTTCTTGGACCCTTATCAAAGTTTCTACCAAAAGACCTATTTTCTCCATTCTGTCTCATTTCTTATATTGCCCATATCACTCACTTTCCTGAGCTCCAAGCAATTGATACATCATATTTCCCTGTCATTATGCATTTTATTTTTCTTATATAGTTCCTATAAAATTAGTCTGACACCTTTGGTAATTATCCACTGCATTTTATCCCTCTTTCTAGTGACTTACTCTATTTCTGTTCTTCAACAATTTTTCTTTAAAAATTGTTCTAAGGTTCTGTTTGCTGTTGGGGTCAAACTAATCAGCCTGCTAATGGTTAAATTACTTTCCTTATATGTATTTGTTATTTTGCTGTTGTCCAGAAACACATGGTACCATTCTTAAAGTGATAGATGAGCTAATTTCTCTGCCATTAGGTTTGCAATACAAAGTGTCAATAGTAACATCAGTACTTCAGGCTGTGAGGTTTTCTACTCTTTTCTTTAAATAGGCTGTATTTTCTAAGTTAAACTTTCATCTTTATGTTTTCATTTCATATCAATGCACTCAGGTACTTTAAACAACATCATACTTCCAGAACATCAAACCCAACATTATTAAAAAGAGAGGATTTGTTAATATAACACTTGGGTCATTTCTCTGTTGTCTTCCACCTTTATCTAAGTAGTGACTCCATACTAAAAAATGAACCTGTCCCCATTTAAAATACTTTTTTTTTCACTGCTACAATAATATATTTTGTAGTCCTTCCTGACATGTTTTTGATCCACTCTCTGTTTTGTCCTCACTATCATTTCTTGCTAACGTACATTCTCACTAATCTACAGTGCCACCTCATCACCTTTATCTTTCATTTGGCAGCCAGCTATTAATACTGTATTATGGTCTGACGACTGTTTCAGCATGCTTCTGATTCCCTTAACAACTCTGTCAGGTACCAGAAGATCTAGTTACCCTACTTTGCTGCCCCTCCATTAGTGTAAAAAGTCCTGCCATCTCTCTCAGAGTCAGCCTTTGCTAACCAGAATGAACAGTATATCATAACTTGTGTTTTTTCTCTGATTATACTGACAGGTCATTGCTTCTGTGAACACAGAGCTCTGTCTTTCAAATGTCCACTCTCTTGAAACTGGATTTCTTTAGCTTGGCTAAACATTGCAATAGAAATAGATGTGTTCTCTGTTAAATATTCCAGTTTTTCCTAGAAATGAGTTGCTGGCTTCTCTGTTCCTGCTGTCAGTGTCAGCTCTAGTTCCTGGTTCTGCCCTTGTTGGTTAATACAATGAAACTGCACCTCAGTCCAATTTCTCATCTGCTAGAGACTTTTACCTCCCTACCTTTGCCAGTATTTCCTTTCTGCTTCTTTCCTCTGGCCCACTTCTTTTGTTTATATTTTTCTTCTTTGGTTTTATTCCAATACCTATGAACAAAATTTATAAAATATTTAAAGCTGCATTTTTTTTTCTATTTTATTTCCTTTCCTGAAGCCTGTGGTGGATTTCATGGTTTTGATCAGGCTGCTCTATTATCCCGGAATGCTTGACCATATCACCTTCCTCTCTGGTACTTTGTCAGCATACAAAAGTCATTCCAGTTTAACTTTTGCTGATAAAAGCAAATGAGAGAACTATATTTAAATAAGAACTGTTGCTCCCCTTATCCCCCCCTCCCCAGCAAACCATGTGTGCCTTCGGGGATACCAGTTTCACTCTTTAGAAAAAATCATAATCCTAAATGAAATCAATTACCTGGTGAATGTGAAAATGGGACAAAAGTATACCTTAGCTACATAAGTGTCCACAACAAGAAAACTCTAAGCATATCAATGTAATTAAAGACTCATCTTTTTCTCTGAAGTCAAGATCTGCAAAGTACTTTGTGACCCATGAGAGAGGAAGATAATTCTTTTTGGTGCTCAGCTTTGTATATCTCTCTAATCTATTCATAGAGTTAGTTGCTGACCAATTATTCAAAGAGGCAAAGTACACTTCAGAGATAAGAGCATTCTTCTATGTGTAGCTGCTCTGCAAAATAAATGAAGTTGACTAAGCCATTACAGTAATTGCTAAGTTAATTACTTGAGGGTGGCAGGAACCTTTAGCATATGCCTCCAGTTTGTTCAGATTTTAAAAATACAACAAGAAAGGCCAGCGGAGAAAATATAAAGTTTGGTTTCTGAAGGATCAACCTTTAACTTTTTAG